GATCAAATCACATATGATCAAATAATTACTTAAATAAATTTATTAATATTTGTAGCATTTTCACTGATATTTATTATTATAAATTACAAGATTGATTTTCGTGATTCATGTTGATAATATTTTGGTCAAAATAATTAATATTTTATTAATATTTGTAAAACTTTCATTGATATTCATTATAATAAATTACAAGATAGATTTTTGTGATCCTTGTTGATAATATTTTAGTCAAGATAATATTACACCATATTTTAGGTTCTAACCATAATATTAGTTTTATTTTTTATTTCACAAATATTCACTCTTTATCCAAAAATATTTATGGAAAATCGTAACAGGTTAGGTAAAATGTTTTTACAAGTAATCAGAAAAAATCAAGTTGGTGAATTAATTTTTGCCAATATATTTGTTTCTTAAGCTTTATTTTGTTAAATATAAAAAAAAAAATAAAAAATTGTTCTTCAAATTAATATAATTTACCATTTAAGAGATAATGACCAGATACAATAAATAGTTTTACTAATGATAAAAAATTAAAATTAAAACATATTAACTATTGTTTAGAATTTATTTATATATTATTGGCACCCATGATTATTTTTTTTTTCATTTTATTATTTTGATTTATTTCTATAATTAAATTATTGTAAAATATATTTTCATTGCTCAGTATGCTAAATAAACCATAAATCCTTATAATGTGAACTAGAAAAATCTTGATCATAAAGGGGATCAAGTTTTTGGGATTTTCTAAATCAAAATTTTTAATTAGTATATAAAATTAATTTCTAAAAAAACATGTGTATATTTTGTAAAATATTTATACACTATTGAATATTAAATTTATTTACATATTTTAATTAATTACATAAATAAATAATACCAACGTGCATTAAATATATTTCATTACATAAAATAAAAAAAAAGGCGCACAACTTCTATAACTTTATAAATAATAATGACATTATATGAAATAAAGTGTATAATAAAATAATAATCAAGTATTATATGGTGAACAAGAATAAGTAAAATTGTTATTCTCTCTTATATCAAGGAATAAATATATACTAATATCAAATTTAAATTAGGATAAATGTGTTAGTGAAATAATATATTAATTAGGGTAATTACTAAATAAACTTTAACCTTTTTGCGTTTGGAAATTTTATCCCAATCTTTGGGTAATTGCAATATAATCTCGACCTCAATTTACTTATTCAAATTTCGGTGCAGAGTGATTGATTTTAGGGATTTGTGAATCAATTTTGTGTCCAAGTCTTCCATTGACACGAGTTTTTATGTCATCCACGTAGCAAGTTGACAATTTCTACATATTTAATGTCTATCCACGCACAAAGCTGAAATTTTCACGTCAATGTAAGCTAGCGGTGATGAGTCTCCTCCTAGATCTGGAGTGAACCGGGAAATATGAGCTCCGATCTGTTCGAACCGCCTTCAAATCGGCCAGTTTTTTTGAAGGTCCAACCGGTTTTGGGTTCAACTTGCAATAAGTAAATTGAGGTCGAGATTATATTGCAATTACCTAAAGATTAAGGTAAATTTGCCAAACATTCGCGAGCAAACATATTAATGACGCGGAAGGCATTTTTGTTAGTGAAAATATCTATTTTCACCCCGTTTTGAAGTCTTTTTAAGTTTTTTCACACCGTCCAATAAAAAGCTATGTTTTTCACCCCAGAAAGTGCGAAGGTTATTCGAAAAATTTCGCATATTCATCGTATAGTTGTCCATATGCGAAGAATATGCGAAAAACTGTCGCATAACTGTCACATATCAATTGCATAATTGTGCAAAAGCATTGTGCGATAAATATGCGACAGTTACCAATTGATATGCGACAGTTATGCGAAAAACTGTCGCATAACTGTCGCATATCAATTGCATAATTGTGCGAACACATTGTGCGATGAATATGCGACAGTTATGCAATTGATATGCGACAGTTATGCGACAGTTTTTCGCATAAGTTTCGCATATGGACAGTTATGCGATGAATATGCGACAGTTTTCGCATAACCTTCGCACTTTCTAGGGTGAAAAACTTAGCTTTTTATTGAGCGGTGTGAAAAATTTAATGTGTTTTCGTTATGGGGTGAAAAAGATTTTTTTCCTTTTTGTTATGCTACTAATACTTGTACATGCTCGCCTATTCTGCCCAAGCCCGGCTGAGATCTAGAAATATTTTGTGATGAACGTGCAGGAAAACCTTCTTTTGATTTGCCCAAGATCTTTGGAAAAAGGTTGAGGTTTATTTAGCAATTAACACTATGAATTATTTTAATATTTTGACTAAAAAATAATGTTGATTAAAAGAGGTGCAAAATATATTATAACTTTATTATTTATTATACTTAACGCTGATTAAAAGTGATGAAAATAGATGATAATCCTATTGCTTTATATACTTAAATGGACAAAGCATATGAAAATAACTCATTTAATATTTCTGTCCCGTGCATCGCACGGGGGTACGTACTAGTTAGACATAAATAACTTTATTCATATATTCATTAACTCAACACTCATGTTGTACATGGATATTAGTACTAGTAGAGCTTAATAGAAACAGAGGGATAAGACTTCAGTGAGCTGTTATTATTATCTTATATTATCATTTATTGGTATTTTATATATACAAAAAAAAATTCAATGCTTACGTTAATATTATTTTTTGTTTTGTGATAATACTAATATTATTTTATTCTAAAGTATATAATATTTGTAATAAATATTTTTATAGTGTTACACTCATCTTTTATAATATATAAGGAGAATCATTATATATATTAGAATATCAATATATCACTACATTAACCCTTATAAACATACTAGTACAACACCCGTGTATTACACGGGTGTTTGTTAAAAATTATTCTTAAATTTTAAAATTAATGAGAAAACTATAAATTCAGTTTACTTTTTTACAAAAAAATATATTACTACTATATATTTTAGAATGATATGTGTTACTTATGACTTACATGTGTTATATTATTTTAATTTTTATAACTTATATTATATAACTACTTGAAATATAAATATATTAGTTGATAAATAATTTTATTTTTCTAATTAATATTAAAAATAATTTTATTATTGTTATAAAGATAAATATAAATTATTTTTTTTTATACATACAATATGGATGTTAAATCGAAGCTCATCAAAAGAAGATTAATTTGATATATTACATATGTAAAACTGATAAAAAATACAAAAGTTATTAACTTTTAAAATATATCCACAATTCAATAGTTATAATAAGAAATAATATTAAAATACAATTAATGCATGTAACATGACCATAAATAATCAACATATTTATGGTAATCCCAACCTAATTATTTTTGGTTTGGAATTAAATTAAAATTTACACAAGCCTAATAACGAAGCATGTAATTTTTCCACATAGGATTTCCAAGCACCAGAAACAGCCACGTAGGCTCAGCGCGTTCTGTATTAATATATAGGGGGATGTTCGTATATAATTATATATAATTTTATTTTTATATAAGTATTTAAAGATACCTAAGTAAAATAAGAATAATAAAAAAAAGCACTTGTAATTATTTATATGAAGTATATTTTTAAAACAAATAATTTTAAATAAATTTGTCATAGTTTATATTATATATAACTATGATTATATATTATTAATATTTTTTTTCATTGTCCTTTGTTAATTTTATTTTCTAAAACACCAAATTTTAAAGACATACGAATGAGAAAATCATGCATTAGTTTTGAATTGACTAATCCTATGAAAATGAGTATAGTCATGAATCATGATATGTATAAATCATTGAATTATGAATGAGTAAGAGAATAATCATTCTATTACGTCAAACTTTCATATAACAGTATTGTCCTTTAGTAGGTATAGAGTACCCTATGGAATTGGGCCAACTTGATAAATGTAGTCCATGGGCCTAGGACGTGTCAGCCCTTCAAAATCTTTTTCAAATGTGGGTCCAACTGTAAGTTGGTGCATCGATCTTATTTGCGTGGTAGATTTTATTCTCCATAAAACAAAAACCAACCTCACCAATTACTCAGGCGTGCTTGGATACAAATATATCCGTTTAAATTGAGTTATTTTTTATTTTTTATTTTTTTAATAATATTAGTTGAATTTTGAGTTTATACTAAAATAACATTTATAATAAAATAATTAAAGTTGATTTGATGTAAAAGGAATAGAGAGACTATGTGAAGTAATGATTAATTAAAATTATGTGAGTGAATGAACAACGAATTAAAATTGATGTGATGTATAAGAATGATTAATTCATATTATTTAATTATATTGATAATATTAAGGATAGTGAGGTTGAGTTAAAGTTGAGTTAGATTTTGAGTATGAATGGTATGGATTGATTTATTGTCTATACAACCACTACCTAAACCTACTTGGAAGGCTTGGGCATCACACCTCATGCTAATAGTGGTACAAACAAGTCGAGTCGAGTTGGCCAATAATATAACTGAATCATACTTTTTTTTGTTAAACATTGCTCGAGGTCGACGATTTAGTTCTTTAACGCTCAAATCAGCCTGATAGATATAGGCAAAAAAATTCTCATGCTCGACTTAATATTGACCCAATTCTTACTTGAGTTGAGATTGAA